CATAATTTATTGTTTTATTTTCTTGAAAACTTTATTTATTTTATATTTTATTTTGTTTTTCTCTTCTTTTTACCGCTGTTCAATACCCGGTGTATACGCACGGACACGGATGGCTGCGGTGCAGTCGATGCACAGAATTTTCATAAATTTTCTTTGATTATGAGTTTTAAATATGAATTTATTTAAAGTTTTATATTTTAAATATATTTCTTGATTTAATTTTCTCAACTTTCTCTGCTTTCTTCATAGACACTCAACCACCGCCCATGCAGCGCCTACTGGGCTTCAGAGGCGTTGCTGCTGCATGCAGATTCTGCTGCGCATGCAGCAAAACCCTAAACCCTCAGCATATCCACCCAGCTGCAGCAGGAGTTCTAGCAGCAGCAGCAGCAGGGATACCAACAGCAGCAGATGCAGCAGCAGCACAAGCGCCAATAGCACCAGCAGCAGGATTACCTGCAGCAGAAGCAGCAGCAGCTGCTCCTTCAGCAGCATCCGTTAGGCATTTTAGGCGTCGCCTCTTCAGCAGCAGCAGCAGCAGCAGCAGTTGCAGCAGCAGCAGTAGCAGCAGCAGGAGTTACTCATCTTCTTCTCCCGAAAGCATACAGCAGCAGCAACATCAGCAGCAGCAGCAGCAGCAGCAGCAGCAGCGGCCTCCAACAGTGGAGCAGCTGCATGCGGCGCTTCACTTATATAGAAAGATACTGCGGCAGCACAAACGGCTGCTCAGCAACGCCCCGCACAAATCCTTTGCCTCCGCTTTTGTAAGAAATGAATTCAGACTGCACTTCATAGCAGCAGCAAATACAATACTCAGCAGCAGCAGCAGCAGCAACAGCAGCAGCAGCAGCAGCAGCAGCGAAGCGCAGCAACCAGAAGTATCTGTATCCCAGCAGCAGCAACAGCAGCAGCAACAGCAGCAGCAGCAGCAGCAGCAGCAGATTGGCGTTTGTTCTTTTTCTCAGTTTGTATCATTTATAGACGCGTGGGGTGTATACTTAACTGCAGCAGAAAACGCAGCGTCGCTGCAGCAGCTGTGCAGCAGCA